AACCTGTGGGTCCTCGGGTGTTTTGGCCTACAGTTTACCAGCTGTTAGGATTTCTGGGAGCTGAAAGCCAAAACATCTGGAGACCCACAGGTTGAGAACCACTGCCTTAAGGCAAAGCTACAACAGGTTTGTCTTGGTAATATTGGTTCAGAGTTGTTTTTCACAAACTTTTCCCAATCTCATTGCCCTCTCCACTGGTCAAGTTATAGCTCTGGTGGAGTAGCTGAAAGATGAGGAGGAAAATGGGGTGGCAAAGAATGCAGGAGCATAGCCCTGGGCAAGAGCATAGTAGTACCTCCCTAGAACTTGGGTGCCTCCCTACAAAAAAGAGGCCCTGAGCAGAGTGAGGACTATAGGTAGAGACGGGTAAATAAGGAAAAGGCAGCTAGAGGTAAATAACATGTATGTAATAGAGCTAAAGGATGAACATATTATAGGAGTCAAGAGATGCATGTTTCTGTATTACGAATCTGTTATGGAAAATTGGATTGTATAAGAATTTTAAGTACCGAATATGTACAACTCACAAATTATTTAAATGTTTTAAAAAGGCCCTGAGCAGATTGAGAACTATAGGTAGAGATGGAAAGGTATCACGGTCTGGTCACCGTGAATGGGCTGCTTGGGTGAACTGGCAGCTTCACCTAGACTTCAGCATATTAAATATGGTTGGGGAGAAATTTAAGATATTCATGGTTTTTCCACTTTCATTGGGGTCTTGCATCCCTAATCTATGCGGAAAGTGTAAGGCCTACTGTATAATCATAATCAATTAAATAGCCAAAGATTTGCAACCCTTTCCTCAAAAACAGATGTATACAACTCCCTCAGAAAGTCTCATGGAGTTGGAAGAGACTGCAAGGACCATCTAGTCCAGTGGTTCACAACCCTTTTTTTGACCAGGGACCACTCTCCAACATTAGTACCAAAAGGGTTACGAATCAATTTTTGGTCAACTTTAAATTCGGTTTAGTTATTTGGAGTGCTGATTCAGAAAATTGCATTGGATAGACCACATCAGCTCTAGTTTCTGATACAGGACATATGCCATCCAGTAGTCGTCATCTGCTCGTCCACAGCCATATTTAATAAGCCTCAACACTATAAGAGGGTTTCGTAAGACCAGTCGCTCTTGTTCTAACGGTGTAGGAATGGTGAGTTCTTGCGGACCACTGGTGGGAACCACTGATCTAGTCCAATCTCTGACATGCAGGAATATATAGCTAAAGCACTCCTGAAAGATGCCCATCCAATCTCTATTTAAAAACTTCCAAAGAAGAAGGGTCTCTTTCCAACCTCTGAAGCAGTCCATTCCACTGTCTAACAGCTCCTATGATAAAGAAGTTCTTCCCAATGTTTAGGTGGAATCACCTTTCTTTCTTTCTTGCCTGAATCCATTGATTTGTTTTCTAGTCTCTGGAATAGTAGAGAATGCCTCGTTCTGCTTAATGGTAGGGCTGGCTCTGAACAGTATTTTCTCTGGCACAGGCAATGGTAGATGTTACCTTTAGGACTATATTTTTGGGATATCCCATCAGCCAGTCTCACACTTTATTTAGCCCTCATTTGCCATGTAGGATGTGAGGCTGAACTGTGTGAGAGACTATGCAGAATCCCAGCAGACTAGAACAGCTAAGCATACTAAAGCTAGTCTTGGGATGCGTGTATGTTTTTGCAGCATTTTGGCCGCAGCTAGCTGGGCTCCTTAATAAAAAGCAAGGGGACCAGCCATCTCCCTGCTGCTCTCTCTTCCTTTCACCGTGGGAGGGGAAGACAGGCTTCAGGTCCTTTTAATGTGCAGCCCTTGTAAATCCATTGACTGTGCCCTGTGTGTGTGCTCATGTGCGTCCGGACGGGCTCCAGCTCCCTTTGAAGTGCTCCAGCGGTCAGGATGAAAGTGGGATGGAGGGGAAGGAGTCCTTCCCAAGCCATCAAGCCCTAATTGCAGGTAATAGTGCTTCTCAATATCCCATCTGGGGAGGGGAGCATCCCTATTTCCTCTAATCCTGTTGTCCCGCTCTGAGGTCCTGCAGCGAAAGGGAAGTTGCATACAGGGAGCAAGGCTGGGGAACTTGGCCTGCATGTCATTGAGCTCCTAGCAGCAAGATGTAAAGGGCTAATGGGTCCTCTGAGGAGCACTTTGGAGATCCTCGGCATGGTTAAATAGAGCAGAACAGAGGGAAAACGTACATTAAGGGACTGTGCTTTCCACCAAATTCTAGTTTTGCTTTATTGTTTTCACTGGCAAATTGATCTCCCAACTCTGGCCAATTCTCAGATTCAATGTTTCACCCCTTCTTTCTCCATAAATGAGGTCACAATTAAAAAATTAAATATAGCAGAATGTAGCAGATGCAGATAATATAAAATGGAGAGAATGTATTTTGTTCAAACAGCATACTGATAACATGCAGTAGATGATTTAGTCTTGATTTTTTGGCTCTATTGAAACAGAATAGACATTTTCTGTTTATGCAATTTTAATCAGCATCTGGATAGGAATATCAAAAGATGGTTGTTTACGGGGGTATTACTTAAAATGTCAGTGCTTCATGCTTTTGCAACACAATTTAGGAATATTTCTATTTGACCATCTCTGTTGAACACAATTAATATTCTGCTGCTATATGATACATTGCTCTAGAGATCGGGGCCTTTTTAGGTGGTGGTGCCTAGGTTGTGTAAACTTGCCCTTTAGAAGGAAGTTAAAACATCCTGCTCTCCCGGACTGTATTTAGCAAACAGCGACACAAGATGTTGTTCTCAAGCCCTAGATTAATTTCTGCTATGTTAATATACTGGAACCACATCTAAATTCATGTTTATTTTATGTCTTTGATAAGTCACCTTGTGGATCACTTGCTACAGAAAGTCAGCATAAATAACTAAATAAGAATAACTAAATAAGCAAGCAGAAGATAGAACCTCTCCCCTGGGTTGTGAGTAATCTAAGACGGGAAGTAAAAGAAAGCAAAATCATCAAGGGATGTAGGCAAGGTAAACTTAGTTACCATATATACTCTAGTATAAGCCAACTTGAATATAAGCCAAGGCACCTAATTTTACCACAAAAAAACTGGGAAAAGGTATTGACTTGAGTATAAGCCAAGGGTGGGAAATGCAGCAGCTACTGGTAAATTTCAAAATAAAAGTAGATACAAATAAAATTACATTAATTGAGGCATCAGTAGATTAAATGTTTTTGAATATTTACATGAAACTGTAATTTAAGATAAGACTGTCCAACTCTGATTAAACCATTATTCTAACTTTCTTCAATGTAAATGTGCTTACGTATCCTTCCAATAATAACAAAGGGAGTAAAATAATAAATGTAATAATAATAATAGAATAAAATAATAAATGTAATAATAATAGAGTAAAATAATAAATGTAATATTAATAATAATAGAGAATAATAATAATAATAATAATAATGTAAAATAAATACCTTTGACTCGAGTATAAGTCAAGGGGGGCTTTTTCAGGGCTGAAAAACTCAGCTTATACTCTAGTATAAACATGAGAACATGAGCTTATTCTTTGCATCTGACCTGAAAATGACAGCTAGGTCATGAGACTTGCTTTTTGTATTAATCTGCTTCAGAGGAAGGCCCATCTTTACAAAGGAGCCATGCTGTGTAACACACAGGAATTCAGGAAGTTGCCATATACCAAGCCAGGTCATTAATCTATCTAGTTCAGTATTATTGTTTTGTGCCTTTAGGTAAACTCCAACTTACAATGAATGCATCATAGGGGTTTTCTCATTAAGATATATTTATAGGTGGTTTGCCAATGCCTTCCTATAAGGCTGAGGAACTGTGTGACTTCTCCAGGGTCACACATTGAGTTTCTATGAGTTTCATAGTTCAACACTCAAACCTCTACACCAGTGGTTCCCAACCTTTGGCCTCAGGTGTTTTGGGCTTCCACTCCCAGAAATCCTAGCCAGCTTACCAGCTGTTAGAAATTGTGGGAGTTGAAGTCCAAAACATCTGGAGGCCAAAGATTGGGAACCACTGCTCTACACCATTCTAGTTCCCCATCCCAATACATTCTACATTCTGTGGCAGACATTCTCCATGAGTTCACATTCACAGAATCCCAGCTTGTATAGTCAGTTACAAAAGATTTGGGGAGTGGCAGTCCAAAACTTCTGGAAGCCAAAAGATTAATAATTAAAAGAAAGGAATTGGTGAGCTGGCATAATAGGATTCAACATTTTATAATCTGTTTATTCACAGCTGAAACACTGAACTTAGATGAAAAATCATAGAATTTTGGAAGAAAATATACAAGAGTCTGAACCATTAACATTAAATTCAATGAACCACCTTTTCAGTGATGCCTTTTTGAGCAAGACTTGGGACTGGCAGAATTATACAAAAACTATAAGACAGTTGGCCCTCCATATCCATATTTTGAATGAATATATATGTATGTATGTGTGTGTGTGTGTCCAAAAACCATGACCTTGCCATCTTATATAATATACATCATTTTATTGTGTCACTGAGTATAATGAAACTTGAACATCTATGGATTTTGGTATCCACAGAGGTTTCTGGAGCCAAACCCCAAAAGATACCAATATAACACAAAACCAACTGATAAATATACGTAATCAAAACATACAATATTGTACAGCAATATTAAACTGAAATTCCCAAAACTTTGGAAAACAAGAATGTTTTGAATTGAGATTTTTAAATAACAAGGGAAGGAACAGTTTGCAAATGAACAGAAGGATCCCTCAAAATATAGCAAGGTTAGTTTACTGTCTTCTGGAATAATGTGATAGGGATTATCAAAGCGAGATATGACCAGTGTCTAAAGTTTCTTATGTGTAAATCTGATAAAGAATTAAGATAGGTGAGTTAAGCCAAAATAGTCTTAGTCCATCATATCTGAAAGAGACCATGATGGAGAAGGACATAAATGTTGATATATAGTGCGTTTTGGTGCTGATGCTTCCATTACTGCTTTTAAATTAACAGATCTCTACTTCATCTGACATGGCTTCAATCAAAGGAGAAGAGATACCTCAGTCTAACAAGGTACGGAACCTGAGGCGAAACGGGCGAGCCATGCCACGTCGACAGAAGCGCCGCTGGCCATTGCATCATACCTCCAAGAACCAGTTGCAGTCTCTCCAGTCGGGTGGCACAGTTCAGGAGGAGAGCACACCCTTTGTGCTGGACTTACAGAACCTACCAGGCTTAGCTAACGTGGATCTGAGTGCCCAGAATCCAAACATCCAGGTAGGCCCATGGCCCGTTAAGGTTATACTTGCTAGACTAGAAACAAAGTGATGGAATTCACCGTTAACCTTACAGTAGGTAAGGAGATTTGGGCCACTAGGATCTGCCTTAGGATACACTAGCCCAGTGGTTCTCAACCTGGGGTCCCCAGATGTTTTTGGTCTACAATTCCCAGAAATCCTAACAGCTGGTAAACTGGCTGGGATTTCTGGGAGTTGTAGGCCAAAAACATCTGGGGACCCAAGGTTGAGAAGCACTGCTAGCCCACCCTGAACAAAAACCAGGAGTGGCTGGAAGTCTGTTTCCAGTTTTTGATTTTGAAAATCCTTTGGGGAGTTGTGGGGTCAAAACACAGAGAGACTCTGCAGATTGTTTTGAAGAAGAATTATTGCTTCTAGGACTAGCAGTTTTCATTCTTTATTATTATTATTATTATTATTATTATTATTATTATTATTATTATTTGAAACACAAAAAGATGAGTCCACAGCACACACTCTGCTGGCCATTGAATTGGATCACACATCAGACACTTCCCAAGTGTCTAGGACTGTGTGATGTATTGGCAAATAATGCGTGCAGATCTCAGTAAGGTGGCTTTCTGCAGCTGGCAAATGGTAATTTTGTCAGCGCCGATTGTGTTTAAGTGCAGGTCAAGGTCTTTAGACACTGCACCCAGTGTGCCGATCACCACTGGGACCACCTTTACTGCTTGTGCCAGAGTCTTTGCAGTTTGATCTTTAAATCCTCATATTGTGTCAGCGTTTCCAGTTGTTTCTCTGCAATCCTGCTGTCCCCTGGAATTGTGACATCGACGATCCAGACTTTGTTTTTTTAACATGATTATGAGGTCAGGAGTATTATGCTCCAAAACTCTGTCTGTCTGAATCCAGAAGTCCCAGAGGAGTTTGGCGTGTTCATTCTCTGTAACTTTTTTCAGCTTGTGATCCCACCAGTTCTTTGTCGCAGGCAGATTGTATTTGTGGTGCAAGTTCCAATTAATCATCTGAGCAACGGTGTTATGCCTCTGCTTGTAGTCTGTCTGCGCGATCTTCTTGCAGCAGCTGAGGATGTGATCTATTGTTTCATCTGCTTCCTTGCAGAGTCTACATTTGGGATCTGTTGTCGACTTTTCAATTCTGGCTTTGATGGCATTGGTTCGAATGGCTTATTCTTGGGCTGCCAGAATCAGGCCCTCTGTCTCTTTTTTCAGAGTTCCATTTGTGAGCCACATCCATGTTTTTTCTTTGTCAATTTGGTTCTCAATTTTTGCCAGAAACTGTCCATGGAGTGCCTTCTTTTGCCAGTTTTCTCTTCTGCTTTGGATTGTGTTTTTACGGTATTCGCTCTTTGTCTTTTGCATTTGAAGCAGTTTACTACTATTGACTTCCCTCAATGTTGGTTCTTGACTGCCTTTCACATAATCTGCCAGTGGATGTTTCTCTTCTTCTACCATTTGTTTCACTTGCAGAAGCCCTCTGCCTCCTGATTTTCTGGGCAGGTAAAGTCTGTCGACATCACTACGCGGGTGTAATACGTAGTGGATTGTCATCAGTTTTCTTGTTTTTCTGTCCAGATCATCCAGCTCTGCTTGTGTCCAGTTCACAATCCCAGCAGTGTATCTAATAACGGGGATGGCCCTGCTGTTGATAGCCTTGATCGTATTCCCACCATTTAATTTGCTCTTCAAAACCTTTCTGACTCTTTGGGTGTGTTCTTTGCTGACCACATTTTTCACTTGCTCATGCTCGACATTGTCCAACTGTCGAATACCCAGATATTTGTAGGCTTCAGGCTGATTGCATTTTATGGTCTGTCTGTTTGGCATCTCTATGCCCTCGCTGTGTGTAATTTTCCCTTTCTTTAATGCCACTGTGGCACATTTGTCTAGGCCAAACTCCATACTGATGTCATTGTTGAAGATTCTGACTGTGTTGGTCAATGACTTGATTTCAGTTTCTGATTTTCTGTAAAGCTTTAGATCATCCATGTACAGTAAGTGGGAAATTTTGGGTGAATTTCTTGCTGTTTGGTAACCTAGGTTTGTTTTCTGTAGAATTACTGACAGTGGGATCATTGCAATGATGAACAGCAGTGGTGACAGTGAGTGGCTTTGGAAAATTCCTCTCTTGATGTTAACAGTTACGTAGCTTTCGTTACCCTCAAACAACTCAGTTTTCCATTGTTTCGTTGCATTTTTATTAGTAGTAAAAATGTATTATTATTATTATTATTATTATTATTATTATTATTATTATTATTTCTTACCACCTCTTCTTGTGGCTTGAGGTGCGTTACAGAATAATTAAAACACATAAACATTACAAAAGTGCTACAAATCCACATTTTAAAATGTATTTCTATAAAAGTTACATATTAAAGCATATTTTTAAAAAATACATATTGAAATACACAAAACAGAGATTAAACACAAGACACGCATAGGCCTGCCGGAAGCGATAGGTCTTTACATTGTTTATAAATTCTGACAGATGATCTAGCTGTCAGAGCTCTACCGGCAGGTCACTCCACAGTCTTAGGACGGCCAATGAAAAGGTCCTTTAGGTGACGATTGCCAGTTGGGTTTTGCCTGGTTGGAGCAGGCATTCCCCAGAGGACCTCCGTGTACAGGGCTGATTGTACAGGAGAAGGTGATCCTGTAGGTAACCTGGATCCAAACTATGTAGGGATTTAAAGGTCAAACTTGGTACAAAGGTAGTCCAATGTAGAATGCATTGCAGAAGTCCAATTATGAGGTTATGAGTCCTCCAAATCCAGGAAGGGGCGCAGCTGGCATATCAGCCAAAGCTGATAGTAAGCACTTTTGACCATTGCATCTACCTGGGCTGACATTTTGAGGGAAAGATCAGGGAGCACTCCCAAGCTACAGACACAGTCTTTCAGGGGGAGTGTAACCCCATCCAGGATTGCTTGACACAGCTCAGTCCCTAAATTAGGACCCTTGATGGCAAGCACCTCTGTTTTGTCTGGATTCGATTTCAATTTTTTTCTCCTCATCCAGCCCATTACCTCTTCCAGGCATTCATTTGCAGGAGACACATTATCCTTAGCTGAAGCTGTTTTTGAAGGCATGGAGAAATATATTTAGGTGTCATCAGCATACGGATAACAATTTGCTCCATGCCTGTGGATGATTTCTCCAAGGCGTCATATAAATATTAAAGAGCATTGGGAATAGAATGGCATCATGTGGGGCATCACATAACAGCTCTTGTTTTGAGGAGCAGTTATCCCCAAGCACCACCATCTGGAACCTGCCTGAGAGGTACAACCAGAACGACTGCAACATAGTGCCTCTCCCAGTATTAAATTATCAACAGGGACACACTCCCCCTGTCAGTGTTGAGACAGAGATCATCCACTAAGGCAACCATTGCAGTCTCTACTCCGTATCCTGCTTTAGGGTCAGTTTGAAATTGCTCAAGGAAGTGTGTGTCATCCAAGACCACCTGGAGTTGGAGGACAACTGCCTTCTTCAGCTGAATTCTCACCCCACTCCTCCATGTACAAAGACCACTCTCTTTGGGATACAGACTACTTCAACTCTTAGTTTGGCCTTCCAGGATGCTTTGACTCTTTGGATGTTTCAGTCTATACTTTCTGTCAACTCACCCACCATAGGCAGTGCTATAGATTGTAGAATTTGTACTCCAAAAAGTCAGAGTGCCAAAGGTTTTCCACTCCATCCTTCCATTCCTCTCCATCCTTCCAGCCTTTTGTTTTATCCATTTAGTCTGTGTTCCCCATGAAACGAATCAAGTAGCATCCCAGCTACCAACTCTGAGTAACCAAGAGTGATTACAAAAAACAGGAATGTACTTATGGTTGCATTGCAATGCTTTGATGACCATCCCAAATTCAGCTTTTGCCTGGATTCAATTCTATTTGGCTGCCCCACTTTCAGTCCTGCCAGGCCTGGCTTGGTTGAAGAGAAAAGATCAGACAAGAGGTAGATGTCATGACCACATGTTTGGCACCCTCTTTCTTCACACTGTGATGTCAGAAATGATGAAGCAACTTTAGCACGTTAGCAGTGCCCAGTACGGTGGAGATCAGCCAAGTTGCTCTAAAATACAGTTTCGCCTTAGTGAATTAAAGATGGTTGAGAAACACTTGTTGATTTTTGTATAAAGGAAGACTTGACATGTTGCCGTAGAAGGGTCCCACTCAGTTCAGTATTTATTTATTTATTTATTTATTTCATTCACTTATACCCCGCCCTTCTCACCCCTAGGGGGACTCAGGGCGGCTTACATAAAGGGCACAATTAGATGCCCAAATCACACAACAAATAATCCAAAGAATATAAAATTCAGCAGTTAAGTTAAAAACTTAATTTGATGTGACCTCTTCTATTTACTGACCTTGAAGTAATTCATTGAAAAGTAGATGGAAGGACTGGGTGTAATAACTTTTAATAGGGATAATGACTTTTGAGATGAACTTAGTTCTTTAATGTGTTGTGTGCTTGCAAGTGGTTTTTGACTTCCAGTGATCCTAGGGAAAACCATAGTTTCCTTGATAAAGTTTGTTCAGAAGGGCATTTGTGTTGCCCCTTTTAGGCTGGCAGCATGTGACTTGCCCAGGGTGTTTCTGTGCTAAGTAGAGATTTGAGTCCTGGCCTCCAGAGGCATAGTCCATTGCTCACCACCTTAACTCTTGAACAAAATATCAGATTCAAAAGTGGGGCTTGATAACACTGAAGAGAGGAATAGCCAGCCATGGAAAATGGTTGGAGATAAGAGCAAGGTCAAGAGATCACAAAGAGTGAATGCCTTTTTACTCAATTAAGAGGAAATGTAAAAATGAAGACTCGGTCATAAAGTGAGGCCTTTGAAGATAAGTTGGGTTATTGAAATGCAGTGCAGGACTTGAATTTAGATATTGTGCTCCTGCCGCAGACTTACCTGTTACCTTGTTTTCCAGGTAACCATAGAGGTAGTGGATGATCCTCAGGCTGAGATGGAGATGGACTTGCTGAAGGAGACTAGGAATGATTGGTCTCTGACTTCCTCAGAGTGGCTATCCCATAAAGACCTCTTCTGGCCGCTTTTCTGGGAGTATACAGACCCTGTGGAAGAGGACAATGAAGACGACAACTTGGATACAAAGAGCAGGGGTGACGAAGAAGAAGAGGAGGACTATACTTCAGAGTATGATGAGGAGGAGACAGTTCTGAGTGGAGTGGGAGGTGACTGGGATCAGAGGTGGCCCAATCAGAAGAACTGGATCTTCAAAGAAAAGTATAAGTATGGTGAGTCTTCCCTTGTTGGTCTTGATACCTCTGTAGATCAGTGGTTCTCAACCTGTAGATCCTCAGATGTTTTGGCCTTTGTAGGCCAAAACACTTGGGGACCCACAGGTTGAGAACCTGTAGAGGAATAGGGGAGCTTAGGTCACTCTTTCAGTGGGGCAACCATGTTTTCTTTGTGCTAGAACTTTTGACCTGCTCCTTATTATTCTTTCCAGTTGTGATGTGGCCAATGTAAGTGATTCAGCAGGAGAAATATGGAGTATAATTTGCTGAAATTGTAGTGTTCCAGACATTGAGACCACTTTCATAGTCATGCTAGTGTATGTGTGTTTTCTTTCATATGTACTTACTCACATATGATTTCTGGGTTTATAGCTCAGTTGGTGAGTGCATCATTTGATAATAGAGAGGTGGAGTGGAGGGGTAAAATGAGGCATGAGTCCTGCTTCAGTACTGTGCTCTGGCCTGAAACCAGACTGAAAGCACTTATCTGCCTTAGCTCCATCCTGTGCGATCCTGGGTTTTTTAATTCGATGAACCATCGAAAAGTTCTCTTAAAGAGATCTAGTCCCTTCTGCTCAATTTCAGGACTAGATCTAATGCAGGAAAATTTTGCCCTATTAATCCCAGGATTCCACTGGATGGATCCATGGCAATCAAAGTGTCATTGAAGTGCTTAACCTGCAACATACAGATACATCGTGAAAGAGAAAGGGTGGGGAAAGCCTAGAACAATTGTATTCTCTTTCTTACTTTGGCTTTCTATTCTGCAGATTATGAAGATGAAGAGGAATGGAGTCCCTGGTCTCCCTGCACTGTAACTTGTGGCAATGGCAACCAGAAGAGGACTCGTTCTTGTGGCTATGCCTGCACTGCCACTGAATCAAGAACTTGTGACTTGCACCAGTGCCCTGGTATATTTTCTTTTCTACTGTCCAGATTTTATTGCTGCATTTTCTCTATAGACTGAATGTTCTCTGCTTTTAACTGTTGAAAGCTACCAGTCTGACTGTGTAATGCCCTTGAGTTGCTTTCTCAGCTCCTAGCTTTTCTGGGGATCCCTTTATCAAAGGTTTGCAAGGACTAGAGTGAGATTTCAGTGGTAAAGGAGTTCTTTTGGTCAATGGTCACCTCTGTCTTTAAGTGAAAACATGGAGCAAATCTGTTTTCTGCTATGTCCTGTACTGTGGATTCAGATAAGAAAGGAGGTTTTGATTAAACTTTGGGAAGAATTTCCTTAAATTGCAAATGGCTTGACAGTGGCATGGTTTGCCTCAGAAAGTGGTAAACTTTCCATTCTTTGCAGGTTTTTAAAAACAGGTTTAATGAATACTCTGTCAGAGATGCTTTAGCTGTGGATTTGTTGTGTCCGCAGATAGTTGAACAATGTGGCGTAATGTAAAATAAACCACGTGTAGTTCACGTTTAATCAGCCCACACACTGCTTTGTCAGAGAAAGAAAATATGCCACACAGGTGAACAGTAAAAGAACAAGTAGTTTACTCTTTGTAAATTCAGAACAACATATGTACAATCATGTGATCAGTTACACCAATTCACATAATGTCCTTTTATGAGAGATTTAAAATGGTCTTTCTTTTGTCCATGTGGATAAACTCCTTCAGCAGCTCATGAAGCGAGAGCACACTCCAAACTCTGTTTCTCTCTGCTTCTCTCTTCATCTCTCTCTGCACCTGCATAGCTCGAGCCTGAACAAAAGCGTAACAGTAATCAAAAGTTCCAGGCTCAGCCTGCTCCCCGGGCATTGTCTGACCAATCAGCTTCATGAATCTTATTTTACAGCTGACACACACACACACACAAACACAAACACAGACATACACACACACACACTGATTCCTTGGAACAAACTAGTTCCAACAAACTAGATGTTATATAATCTAGTTCCAGTTCTGTAATCTTTTTCCTACATTTCAAAAGTCACACATCTTATCTTTGTTTGTTATTTAATTGGTTGAACAAAACACAAATGCCTCTGTATTTTCTTAATACAAGACAAGTAAAAAGGGATATTTTTTCCATGGTGATACACACAACAAATAGAAAGACTCTTCTTGGCTTGGGCAGGTGGAGCACTGTTGCAGCTCAGTCTCAAGTAACTCAATTTTTCACATGACCCTATAAAAACATGCTTTTAAAAGGGGCTGCTAAATACCATGCTATGCAATACTGCAATAAAGTATATCAAAATAAAATTTCATGTATAATTTGCTTCATACACACTTTGCTGGTATGCAGTTTGCAAGCTATAATGAAAACATATTCAGGGTGATGGTTCTTTGAACACACTTACTATAGCTTGGTCTCCTGTCTCCCCTGCTGGATTCTTCAGCTGCTTCATACATTTGGTGCTTAGAGACCATTAGCTGAAGCCCACTTTGTGTTAGGGGTGAGATTGAACAAAACATGCAGAATAATCACAGGATATCTCAAACCTATACCTGTTGATAAACTCTACAAGCTACCTGGCATTGCCCCCCCCCCCCCCCCCCCCGATGTGCGATGGGAAGTTGCTGCTGTGAGAGAAATAAGGTTGAACACTGTGAAAGCCATCCACTGCATGCCAATCAGGCTCCTCCTAGTAAACTCAAATCAAGGAAACGCTTTATGAGATCCACCATTCCTCTTAACGTTCCCCGAACAACACCAAGAGTATCCCTCTGGGCAGCTAAATCAGGAAATCCCAGTTGGGTGGCCCCCACAAGGGTCTTCCTCCAGGGGCAGACCAAGAATGGGCAACCTGGAAGACTTGGAAGTGGAGTGGGCAGATCAAAAGGCAACCTGGCAAAATGGCACTACCTAGGGAAGTCCTCCACCTTGTGTGACTGTGGAGTAGAGCAGACAACTCCGCATCTGTATGCTTGTCTGCAGTGTCCTGCCTCATATACAGAGGATGAATTGTTTGAGGCTACAGACAGTGTGGTTGCTGTTGCCTATTTTTAGTCAAAAGTCATTTAGCTGTTTGTGCTCCTTCTATTTTTTTTATCAGTTTTATACTAATTTATGCAGTGCTTTTGATACAAAATAAATAAATAAAGGAATGAGATAAGGGCTGGGAAAATGGCAACTCAAATTTCCAGCCAGATTAACCAAAGGATTCTGGAAGCAGTCCAAAAATGTAACTTTGGATAGCTCTAGTGTGGTGTCAGATTGTGATCTAAGGGAACAGGGCAGGAATTATTTGCTAGGAGGTTTTGACATTCGGTTTCTATTCCTGTAGTGTCTTTCAAATGGAATGTGTCATGTCTTAGGAAGTTCACCAGGACATTTTTGCTTCTCTGTTTCTCTCAAGGAGCAGATGGGGAGTTGGAGCTCACAACTGAAGAGTCACCGCATGAAGCAGAAAATTCTACAGGGATCGTAAACCCAGGTTTGGAAAAGGTTTATTCTTGAAATGAAGGAAAAGAGTGTCACTGTTAAAGATGGAAAGAGAACCTAGCTGATTTGTAATGCATGAATTTTGGGTTGTTATGTGCCATCATGTCAGGCTTCACTTATGTTACCAGTGGCATGTCTGTATCTATGCTCATCCTGAATTCTACCTTCACCGGCCTGGCATACTCAAGGTGCACTTAACTGCATTTCATACAATCCTAAGACCATAAAGTAAATGGTCATAATTACTATAAATAATGGAAGATATAGTCTGGAGTGATCTGTACTTCCTTAGTTTTTGTTGTTGTAGCAGTCAAAAAGCCCTCTCTTTACTTTAAAATAAGGCACATGTATGGAGTGTGTACCTTGTTTTCAAACTTGGGAAGCCTCCTGGGAGCCATGAGAAGCTTGAAGACAAGATACACACGCCCTGCATACCTTGTTATATAAGTGAAATTGGGCGTTTCTTGCTAAGGTTATGCTGGGGCCAGTTTGGCAGTGAGATCTAAATTCTTGTGTTTGGGGGAAGGAAATATACCCAGCTGTTTTGAATTACACATTCTCGTTATAGTCAGTATCTGGAGGATGGATGGATGAATGAACGGATGGATATGTATGTCTGTATGTATGTATGTATGTGGATGGTATATGTTGAATTAGACTTTTAGGTATGGTAAGCATTATATAATTTGTTTAAATACTAAGTTGGGAGCTCTAGTTTGGGGTCTTACTGCTTTAGCATTTTAGTTGTTCTGGCCTGAGTACACTGCCACTGACTTAGTGTTGGTTTGTTTGTTTCTCCCATCCACCTGCTTTGCCCAGATGTAGACAGCTGTGAGAAGTGGCTCAACTGCAAGAGTGACTTCCTCAACAAATACATAAGCAAGGTGCTCTCAGACTTGCCCAGTTGCCCTTGCTCCTACCCCTTGGAAGCAGTGTACAGTGCTGTCAACTTGCGGGATGAGCGGCAAGGCAAGAACTTCCGCTGGCGGGATGCCAGTGGGCCCAAGGAGCGCCTGGACATCTACAAGCCCACTGCCCACTTCTGCTTGCGCTCCATGCTCTCTCTTGACAGCACTACGCTGGCGGCGCAGCACTGCTGCTATGACGAGAACACCAAGCTCATTACGCGAGGCAAAGGGGCTGGAGCCCCCAACCTCATCAGTACAGAGTTCTCCCCTGAGTTGCACTACAAGGTGGACACACTACCGTGGATTCTCTGCAAAGGTGACTGGAGCAGGTACCATGCAGTGCGGCCTCCCAATAATGGGCAGCAGTGTGCTGACAACCCATCAGAGGATGAATATCTTTCTCAGCTACAGGAAGCCAGAGAATATTAGCACCTCCAGAAAAGGAGACTTTGAAGAGCACCACACCTTTGGTCTACCACACAGCATCCTAAAGTGCCAAAGGGGATCTTTTGCCACCACCCTGCTATTATGTCAGTGAAGGTTTGTGGTTTACAGAACCATCCTTTGTGTTGCATTCCCTTTGTAACAAGGTAATATGTAGGCAAGGTTACAAACCGATTCTACGATGACTCTGGTCACCTCTTCTCTAAACCTTCACATTCTTTCCTGGTGGTGGCATTACGTAGCAATCCCTGTGGCCTTGTCAGCCTATGAAATGCATACTGTACCCACTGAGGAGGTGAATAGTGGTGGGCACAGTCCCTGAAGACCACACTTTAATGACTTCTCTTGACTCATTTTATACTGTGCTCACAAATATCACACCCGCAAAACAGACTTCAGAGTTCTTAGGGCATAAACCTCTACAGGGTGTTTGATTGTTTTGCAGAGTGTCCGAAATTATCTTTGTTGGTGTAATACACCAATGTTATGTTTTAGATAAAAGGGAAATATTGTTAGATACATTCATAATTATCTTTGTTGGTGTAATACACCAATGTTATGTTTTAGATAAAAGGGAAATATTGTTAGATACATTCAGAATTCGATGGTAAGGCTCTACCATCTTGAAATGGTTCCAGGTAAAAGAGAGAGAGTGCTATCTTCTTTGTGATATTCTATTTTACACTGTTGCTAGGGTTTGGGAGACTGAAGATGGGTGAACTGAAGGGCTGGAATGTGTGTATGAAAACATAGACCCTAAAGAAGAGAGGTAGTTAGGAGATCAGGCTAACTAGAGATGATGGTGATGAAATAACCGGGCCTAATTTTTAGCCAGAACATACAAAAGGAAATACCCAAATATTGTAATCCTACTTCTAAATATTTTAGAAACCAGGGAGAAAAAGACAACAGATTAAGAGCCCAGGGATTCATGGTTTGGGGGTAGAGAACATGCCACACAAGGAGAAAACTCTGGATTCACTCCCTGCTGTGTCCAGTAAGGACTGGAAAAATATGCTGCTGATGATAGTTGCTACCTATCTGGAGTAAGGTCAATTCACACTGCACCATTATTTATTACATTGTTCCACTTTTCATTGCCCTAGTTGCATCTTAAAGAATTCTGGGGTTTGTAGTTTGGTGGGGCATTGGCTGGGAATTATAAATGCCCCTTCCTCATCTGCCAGAATTACCTAGAATGGAAGCATAGTGCTTTAAAGTGGAATCAAAGTGAATCAACCCTAGTTGATGATTGGTCTGCTGGGCCAGTTGTCTGATGCAGGGTCAGGCAGTTTAATGCATTCCTGCCCTGTTAAACTTCAAGACTGAATAACACTGGTCAATGACAGGCAAAAAAGCAAGGGGCCAGTTGTTCCAGCCAAGACTGTGCTATCCCCTATATCAGTGGTTCTCAACCTGTGGGTCCTCAGGTGTTTTGGCCTCTAACTCCCAGAAATCCCAGCCAGTTTACCAGTTGTTAGGATTTCTGGGATTTGAAGGCCAAAACATCTGGGGACCCACAAGTTGAGAACCACTTCCCTTTATGAAGAGAGGCAAACAATAAAGATCCACCTATGTATTTTCGTAGGCATCAAAACTCAGATGATCTTGACCCTGTTAAAAAGGTGTTATCTTTTGGAACGAGCAAACACTCTGCAACCACATGTCTTCTCCAAGTATCCACAACTGGAAAGCCAGTGTGTTTTACTATCTATATTTGTCTGCTAGGTCTGTTGGTGATTCTCTGCGTTTCATGCCAATTGTTTCCAGCCTGTTATATTTTATGGCTCAGGAGTTACCATATAGGACCATTTAGATATAGGGAAGCTATCTTAAACATTCTTTTTTTTAAAAAAAAATCTCAGTCACAAACTTCTGATATTTTTCAAGATTCAGATGGTCCTTTTATGACCTCTAGCGGCCAAGTAAGGGAATTAATTAGGTTAATCATTAGGTTGATATTGTAGGGGGAATTGAACCTTGGCTCCTGCAGGTATTTCTACTGTCACTGTGGTGGTCTGTGGGTACAGTTTTCACTTCAAAAGATCACCGAAGGGCCAAAGCATCCAAAACTGGCCAAAAATCTGACATGGGAGTTTCTTCTGGTTTATGTTCTGGGAGGTACTGGAAATTTGGGGAGCTTGAGAGAGGTGTTAGAACAGTGGTTCCCAACCCAGTGGGCCATGAGACCTAAAATAAGGTCCGCTGCTCTAGATGAGCAGATGGAAACTACTGGATGGCATATGTTCTGTATCAGAAACTAGAGCTGATATGATCTATCCAATGCAATTTTCTGAATCAGCACCCTAAATAACCAAACCGAATCTAAAGTTGACCAAAAACCGATTCGTAACCCTTTTGGTACTAAATGTTGGAGAGTGATCCCTGGTCATAGTGGTCCCTGGTCAAAGTGGTCCCTTGTCAAAGTGGTCCCTGGTCAAAGTGGTCCTTGTTCAAGTGATTCTTGGTCAAGTGGTCCTTGGTCAAGTGGTCCCTGGTTAAGTGGTCCTTGGTCAAGTGGTCCCTGGTCAAGTGGTCCCTGGTCAAGTGGGAACCACTTTGTTAGAAGAAAGCCATTGCACAGTTAAGATGTTTTTCTCCATTTAGGGGCAATAGTGGCATGACTCCACATTTTATTTTTTAGAGGTAACTTGGCAGACATAAGAAGACTCCCCAAAAGTCCATGGAAGGAGTGCACATGGGCTGTAATCCTATGTAGTTCAGTATACCATAGCAGTTCCACATGTGGATCCATGGTACACTTCACTATTTTACATACTGTAAAACCACTAAAGCTTGCCACCCACATTCATTTATGCCTAGAAGAGAGAAGGAGGGATTGCAAAAATGTTTGGCTCTATCATATCACTCATTGATTTCTGCTGATGTAACATGTTCTCCAGGCAAGTCTGCAGTCTTTCTACTTTTCTCTGGTTAGAAACGGCTGTGGGTGGAAGGTTTTGCTGGCTCTATCCTTGGCCACGGGGCGACGGTAAAGGGAAGAAAGGAATACCAACCTCCACAGTAACCAAAAATAGACCTTCGCGGGCATAGGGTCAACTTACATATGAATTTGCCACTAAGAGATACCACCCATGGCATGCAGGGCACACTTATTTTGTTCTTTTTGTAAAACTCTTTTGTCTTCAAACATAAAAATAAGCCAGAGGGGTTTTTTTTACTGCTCTTGCTCTATCAGAGTATCTTTGTTTTAAGAGTTACAGTTTTTTTTTAATAAAACAGCTTCAGAAATGGGAATTCCAGAGGGACTCCTTCTGATTTCAAAGACCCGCAACTTGACACTTAAAATTTTATAGCTCTCTCTTCCCTCTGCCCCTAGTATATAGAGTGGCAGATAGCTTAGCAGTAGGGGGGAAAAGCTTTCATGCTATTTTTACAAAGTATTGCAATATAATATGGTGCAGGTTTTTTTTCTGGAATGTAGATGCAGGACAAGATGTTAATTAAATATTAATACTGCTCTACCACAACTCGCTAGCAATAGAATTTCCTCCATCTTTTCTCCCTGTAGAACATTCACCCAAGAACTGAGACTCGGCCTTTTTTTCTATCCTGTCTTCTCTCCTCCATCCACCCAGACAGGTCTCGGGCAGGCATGCATTTGTATGCATATATCCTTAGAGGCTTTTCCATCCAGCAGAGTACAGTCAGCTCTCCACACTCACTGGGGATAGAAGTATAGGACTCCTCTGAAAGTGAAATATTGCAACAATGGGGGCCCCGGTGGTGCAGTGGGTTAAACTGCTGAGCTGCTGAACCTGTTGACCGAAAAGTTGCAGGTTTGAATCCGGGGAGCAGCGTGAGCTCCTGCTATCAGCCCCAGCTTCCGCCAACCTAGCAGTTTGAAAACATGCAAATGTGAGTAGAACAATACGTACCGCTCTGGCAAGAAGGTAATGGCACTCCATTTAGTCCTGCTGGCGATATGACCTTGGCAGCGTCTATGGACAACGCTGGCTCTTTGGCTTAGAAATGGAGATGAGCACCACCCCACAGAGTTGGACACGACTAGACTAAATCTCAAAGGGAAACCTTTACCTCAAAGTTTGCTAGCAAAGTTCTGAAAGTCTCTGGAGGAAATGGTCCATAGAATCACACTGGAGAACCTAGAGATTCCTCGGGAGAAACTTCTAATCAGATCTGTGAATAATCAAGCTCATAAAAGTCAAAACTGCAAGTGTACCCCTGACTGTAGAACATTATTTTTAGTTGGTTTGTGGAAGGTCTCCCACTGTGTTCTGCCTTGCCCTTTTCTCCCTCTGAACTTATCAGAAATGTTTGTTTCTAGTAGTTTTCTGGCATTTTGTGGATATACCATTTAGTTAGACTTCGTACAATGTCCACAATTCAGACACCACATCTTTGTTGGCAGCAGAACCTGCCAGCATGTACAACACTATGCTTGATAGCAGCTTCCACCCAACCTGGTGCCCAGTTACCACTATCCCCAGCTAGTAAGACCATGGAGAAGGCTGCTCTGTACTGGGAATAGGGAGCCTGAATTATTTGCCAGGGGGTGCAGGCTTGGGGATGATTCTGTCACTCACCGATGTCTGTAAGGGTTTCAGTCTCTCTGCTTCCGGCATACTGAATGCTGTTGTTTCATAAGCACCTTACCTTCCCAGAAAGCTTTGCAGTCTCATTTGGGTGAGTAAATATTTAAGAACAAGGATGTATTTTTATACCATTTGACTATTTTGTCCAGCAAATTCTATTTAAGCTATAAAAATATTGTATATTGTCCTTGCCACATAATTTTATTGCTATATTGGTATATATATTAGATGTACAAAATGGCATTTATAAGGAGAGCTTCTTTATCTGACATGATTAGATGAAAGCACTTTATTTCAAAATACGTGTGTTTGTGACCAACATTATTCGATTCTAATATCGCTCTGTGGTTTGTTTCTTTGAAAGGGACAACACAATGCCAAATGCTGTTTCTTTTTTAGGGACTGGGAGAGCTTTACCATCTTC